TCCTTTCCTACTCCTCTAAGGTGGACATTTATGATGATTAATTGTGTTCCAGTAGTGCTCTAGGAAACCATGGTGTTGAGTATTATATAAACATAATGACAAAAGATTCCCCTTTGTCCTGTTTACCCCTGGAAAAAAATGAGGGAGAGAAAGATTGTGACTTGTTCAAGACTATACAAAATTGGTCTTTTTGCAAGAGTTCAAAACTGCTCTTATTTTTCCTGGGTATCTGTAAAATTCTCATACTTGAAACACATTCTTCCCCACTTCAGCTGTCTATAATAAAACTGCATACAAATTAATTATTGTTGGCAGAGTATACTGGTAACATGTAGTGTTCTGTTTGCACTGTGGAATCTCCTTTTTGCATTAATCTGCAAAATTCTTACTCTCTGGTGCTAAAAGTGTTTTGCAGCATGATGATTTAAAGGCTTAAACTAATGAAAAGAAATATAATTATAATTATTTACTCCTGTGCCCTTTTACTTCTGTTTTTCAAGGTGTGTTCTTCTGGTGAGCAGTATATATCCTACTTATCATGAACCTACATGGATAGCAAACAAGAGAAGCAAGCCTGTGATTGATTTGAATTTAGGCATTAAACTAGGAAGCTTTCTAAGTTTAAATGCCGAGTTAAACTTCATTTCTGTATTTCTTTATCTAGTATAAAGTGCATTAGTTGTTTTCAGAGGAATTCTTTGTTTTCTGTTTCAGCCAGGATCATAGATGGTACTACAGTACAACCCATAGCAAACAAGTTTAAAATTAATTTCACAGTGGAGGAGTGTATTTGATGGGGAGGTCATTTTCTCTTAGTGATGCACTGAGATCTGGGTAGTTCCTGTTCTGGACAAGGAGAGTTACTCATGGGAGAGCTTTGTAACCTCTGTTGATTTGAGTACTCTGGCCCCTGTCCAGCCAAACAAAGCACTTTTAAGTCCCTCCTTAATATTTGTGATCCCAGTTATTTGAAACTAGTGCAATTTTAATTGCTGAAGACTAGAATCTTCAGCATATCTAAGAATTATGCCTGGTATATACTCAGCATGGTAAGAGTACAGATACGGTTTGGTTTTTGTTTGTCTTTCTGCTAGTATCAAACACAGGTACATTCTTCTCTCAACAGTGCCTGCTTTTAAAATTCTAAATACAAACCTTGAATAGTACTGATGTATTGAGATATAGATATACATTAAAAAAAAATTCTTTCATGGATAATAACATCAGTTGAAAGATTTAAAATAATTAATTAAGTTGAGCTTTTCAGTCTCTACTTCCTTCATTTAGCTTTAATTAGTATTAATCAGAGATGTTTTGCTTTTCAAGGTTTAATGGAACTAGTGCATATAGGAATTTACAGACTTGTAAGATCATTACATCTTTATTCATGTAAGGAAACAAATACTGTGCTGTTTACTGTTACTAGCTAAGACAATTTCCAAGTGCCTTTATTGTCATCTTCAATTTAAAATCCTGTACTGTTTACGCTCAAAATTAATTCCCAGTCATAGGTATATGGTAAGTTGTAAGATATACCAGCTTTTGTGTGTTGTTAGGTAATTTAGGGAACATGAGTTTGCCATAAGGATGTCTTTGATAATTTTAATTTGTTGCGCCCTGTTTTTCTTAGCAACGAACAGAAAAATATTTCCTTCTTCAGGTTTCATTTTATTTCTTATTTCATGCAAAATTAAATGGAGCAGAACTTGAGGCAGGAAAGTAGCAGTAAAAGAACACCTGAAAGTTCTTGAATTGACTGCCTCAATCATGAGATGTCAAGCTGATACTCTTTCCTGGTAAAAACACATTACCACCTTCCAAACGTCCCTACACAGGACAGGACTGTTGTCAAGACCCACCTTAGATTACAACTGTGGAAACTTGGCATGTAGGCCTTGCATATGGACCCAGTTCTTGAGAGTTCTGAGAAATTATGACCTTCCACTACTGTGTAAAATGAGAGACTTTGAGGTGGCTGAACAGTCTGAACAGTCAGTTGAAGAGTTTAGGATGAATGAAGCATGCATATCGAGTATGCCCAGTCTCAGGAAATCACAGAACATATAATCCCTGGATGTCCCTTCCTGTACTCCAGCACTTCAGATGTTTTACATTTATAAAACTGCGTTTCTCAAGGGCAGCAGTTCTTCCGCTTGCCAAGATTAAAGAGTGTGCATGTATGTTTTCTTCCACTAGTGTTTTGGTAGAGGCAAATCAAATGAAGACATGCCCAAATGTGTGAATTTCATTGTGATTGAGTTTTCCTACAGAATTTTAAATTACCTTCTGTAGAAGGTAGACATTACCAGTAATGTTGTAGCCATGATAATCTAAGGATGGAGGCAAGATGTGATACGATACATAGTGAGGCATTTAGACTGGTGAGGGAAGATGTTGCCAATGCTGTCAAGAAAGTTACAGTGGTGTGTATGGTATGGCTATGTATTTGGCTGTGTAAGCTACCTACCAAGTATGATTGAACTCCTGAACAATTGATTTACATCTCTATTCAGCTTCAGCTTAACGATTATGGCTTTTATTTCACAATTAAAGGAATGGTTGTGGTCCTGAAAGTGTGTGGTTGGTTTGGATTGTGTGGATTTCTGTTTGCTTGTTTCTGTCTTGTCTGTATATAAAAAGTATGCTCATAAATAACATGAAGAATGCTGTAACAGAATGCTCCATTAAGTTTTTCCCATTCTGCCTTTATTTTAAGTTGTCAGTTCATTGAAGGAGTAGCTACCAAAGCTGATTATGAAGTAAATTTGTATCCCGTCTGTGGTTCTGGTGTGAGAAGTACTTGCTAAGCAAAAAGACAGGAAAAATTAGCATGGAGTTTTTCAAAAGAAAGAGTGAGAAAACTCGTTTAAAAGTCCTAATCACAATAATCACAGAATCACAGAACAGTTAGGGTTGGAAAGGACCTTAAGATCATCAAGTTCCAACCCCCCTGCCATGGGCAGGGACACCTCCCACTAAACCATGCCACCCAAGACTCTGCCCAACCTGGAAGCTGGATCTTTAAAAGTAGCATCAATGCTACTTTGTGTGTGTATCTGTTTTGAAAAATGAGTAGTGAAGCACTCTGGATAAATGAAAAGAGTTAAGAGGTTATATGACCCAAATGGCTCTTACACAGTTTTTAAATCTGCTGTCTTTAGTTGCTAGAGTTGAATATTAATCTGCATTGGCAAGTGCATAAACAGAAATAACGAAGCTGACATGAGTAGCTGAGAGTATAGAAGAAATACACAAGAAAATCTCTCTTTATGATTAGAATACTCAAATCCAGCACAAGTGTTAGATGATCCTCTCCTTGGTAGGAAATAATTCAGTAAGATGATGTTGATTTATGAAGTGAAATCGTCTTGTGTAGCAGTCTTTGTAGCACCTGATATTGAAGAAGCTTTATCTTGGGCATGGTCTTAGCCAGAAATTAAGATGAGATCTCACTCTTGAGGTATTAAAATAAACTCATAAGCAGCAGAATTCAGCAGGACCAAACAGCAAATATTCCAAGTTTGAAAAGAGGTATATGTAATACTTCAGTAGTGAAAATGAGTGTTGCTTTAAAAAAAAAAAAAAGAAATCCCTACTACTGGACCTTGCAAAACTTTACAAATTTCTATGGATTGTTTTGCACTGTTTAAAACAATAATAATAAAAAACAAAGCAAAAACAAACAACCCATGTACATCCTACAGTAGAGTTCAAACCACACAGTTTTTTTGCACAGATCTGACAGAATTCTTTGTGTCGTTAAGGCAGTGGTTGAAGAAGACCTAGTTAATATTTAGAATTTTCCTGAAAGCTTTGAGTGAAGTTAAGCATTGGGTTTCAAATTAGATACATCTGCTTGAGGAAAATAACTTAGAATCTAATTTTCAAAGGCCCGGTGATGATTTCTGTTCCTTTTTTAACTAAGATGTAAATTATGTTGAACACAGGAGTAAAACAAAGAATAGTACAGAGATTATTATAATCCCCTCACGCAGATCAATGATGCAGGCTTCTAAGGAATACTGTGTGGGTCCAACATAGAGATGGTCAAAAGCCTAAGAAAAAATCTTCTATGAAGGGGGAAAATGTGATTGTTTATGCCAGAGAGAACAGGAATGAAGACATGAGTACAGTCTATTACGTACCTGAGGCAATGAATTGTAAAAAAGAGGAGGGGAAAAAAAAAGTTGAGCAAGTAGAAGTTTTCCATCTGATGAGTTCTGAAAGAAACAAAGGGATAGTAAATGAAATCAAGATCTGAAATTCAGGACTAAGAAATTACAGCTGATTTTAATGTGCATCTCATTGAAGCACAGTAGTAAGACAAAAAGATTTGGAGATGTTAGAATTCGTATTACTTATAGCTCTTCTATCAAGTGAGATATGTTTATTGTTGTGCTTATTGTTCTTGAGAAAATAATATTGTTGCTGGAGGGCTGGCAGGAGGGAGGTGTTGTAATTTAGACAGCTTTTTGTAATTTAGAGAGCTAGCAAAGTTTCTTTAGTAATTTTTATTGCTAAATTGTTGGGTTTTTCTCTGAGGGAGGGTTTTAGACCTGCTCAAGGTTTTTCTAGTTCTGGTAGCATGTTTTGTTTTCATGTAAGTTTCTTGTCAAATAACTGCCTTAGTCTTTCATAAGCTGCTTAACACTGCTATGTGTGGAGATTTCGATGTAGCTGAGAAGTTAGTGACATCTCATGGTACCCATGGCAAATTACAAGTGATTTGTGATACGGTTTTGGCATTTATAATTTAATAGACATTGCAAGTGTTTTCTACATCAGAATTTTTTTAATACGCTTGTACATACCTCTCATATTTAATTCATCAGTGTTTGTTATTTAACTAGAGACTAACTCAAGTATTGGTAAGCCTGAAATACTGATACTTGTCAGATAGCATCTGAAGTCCAAACGTTGCAATGTGTATTATGTATATATTTGTAATTTACAAAATAGTTACTAAGCATTATTGTCTCTCCTGGTTTTACTTGGTTCAGGTACAAAGTCAGCTACAGAATATGCTAATGGTGGTTATGATATTGTGTCACCCGCTCCATCAGTGTACTTGGGCACATTTCAAATTTTGCATCTCCTGGAAGATCTAAAGATGGCACTGGAAATGCTTGAGGATCCTCAAGAGAAAGAAGCATTGCGAAATCAAATTCCGGGGGCCACAGCAGTGTGTATACGGGAGTGGTTTGAAGAGAATCTGGTAAGTGGTTATTTTATAGCTTTTCCATTTTGTTTGCAAACAGCATTGGTTCAAGTATTTTTATACTTCAATTATTTTTATAATACCCGAAATCTGCATAAGTAGAGAACTACAAGAGATGGTGAACAATTCATGTGCTCTTTAGAAAGAGAAGAAAGCACTTTATGTGCTGATTACTAAAGCCATGCAGATATAGGAGTACAAGAAGTTGGTAAAAAGACTTACTTTGTCCTTGGTGAGAGAAAGTAAAACTGAACTACCGAGATACCTTTTCTGTGGGTTTTTTTTGTTGTTGGTGGTGGTTCTTTGCTGGAGATAACAAACAAGTTTATAACTAGTCATAAAACTTCAATTTTTAAACCACCAATTTGGAATATGGTGGCATTGCCTGTTGAAGGGACAGATTCAGATTGGATGATTCTTCTAAACTTTCCCTCAGTACATTTCGTTTACCTTAACTATGGGTATTATGAACCTCTGAAGTATCTTGTACTCCAGGTGGTGGGGGTAAATGTAGGAAAGCTCTAGCTTCTGAATGTGAGACATTCATACTGGGATAGACAAGGAATAAAGTCTTGGAAAAGATTAAGGCTTACCAGGTGAGGAGCACATCTTCAGACAGACATTAAGAGATCCATTGGATGTGAAGGAAGAGAAACAGCAGTGCCAGAACACTCCTCTTCACCAAGCCTGCCACTGCAAGTGAGTGATGGTTTCTGAATGAGTTAAACCTACCTATCATTTTGTCAACTTCCGGAAAGTTTTCTAGATGAATGGATTTTCTTCTGGCTTTGTCACTTTTATGTGATTGTGTTTGAACTTGTGAACTGCTGTTTTGTTGGCATTCTCTACAGAGTGCAGGTCTATGGCCGGAAAGTCCTGTTTTGGACTGTATGAGAGAAAGGAATGAGATTTTGGTACCAGCTTTGAAAGCAAAAGGTGGAGGCAATGATTAATTTGGATTTGCAGTGTTAGATTTTGAGTCCGTATCCTCAGGCCAGCTCTTACTTACTTCCTGACATAGCAGAAATTGTAATGCTTTTTCAAAGCTTTGTAATAGCTAAAGTATATTTTTAATGCATAAAAGACATCAATTTTCAGAGTTGTTTACAGTAAAGTTGGCTCTGAACTACCAAACTGAACAGTTTGAGTCTGGTGGTCCGGCTTTTGGCCCCTCTGTTGCACAAGGGGGCCAATTAATTAAGCTAGCTTTTCAGCTCTGCAATGTAGGGAACGCTTGCTGTTTTGACTCCTCATATTAACCTATTTCTTCTTTTCCATGAAAAACCAGCCAAAAGAGAAACCACAGTTCCCTCTTAAAGTTGCAGTTTACTGATGTCCCAGAAATCTTGTCCAATGCACCAAGAGTGGCATTCATTTGGGCACTCTGGATTGAGAACCAACAGAACACGGAAACTGGTAGCACATCTCCAGTGCAGTATATTGAGATCACTGTTTTTAAAATACTTTGCACTGTTCTGTATTAACGAATTCTACGCTTCCTTTAAAGACATGCAAAAGGAGGGTAGTGCACAGTTGCTGTGGCTGTTATTTGAAAATAGATAGTAATCTGTGCATCTGTGGATCTTTCTCATATTTTTTAAAAATGCAGATAATTTGTAAGCATGGGCACAATTTCTGTGGATGTCAAAATTGGAAGCGCTTTCTCCACTGAAAAGCGGCAGTTTCATTTGGGAATTAAGAAGAAATTCAGCTCAGTTCAGTGGAATGGAGTATAGAATCATAGATGGTTAGGGTCAGAAAGGACCTGAAGATCATCTAAACATGTATTTCATAGTTATGGCCATTATGAGGTAACAGCCTCAAGCTGTGCCAGGGCAGATTTAGATTGGATATTAGGAAAAATTTCTTCACAGAGAGGGTGAATCAACCTAGTTGATTCTATGTCCCATACTGAAAATTCCTTAATTCCAGCCCAGAGCTCTGAAACATGATACTTGAGACGTAAAAAAAGATAGTTAAGCTATAGAGAACGAGAACTCTGTAGCTAAGTGAATCCATTCACACCGGAAGCTCAAAGAATGTTTGGTAATCATTAGTCTGTGAAATGTTGGAGTGTCATAAAAAAATAACCCCTTCTCAGTGCCCATGGCTTAAACACATTGACAATGAAACAGTTTGTTGATTTATTAAAGGCATAATTAACTAGAAATCAGTGAACTGTATATTTAGGATCAACATCAGCAATGGAAGAGATAAACCAGAATACTAGATGCTTAAGGAATGTTAAGAAACACCTACAAATTTTGAATGCAGTTCTATAACTAATTCCAAAATGCTAGAATCGCACAGACACACACACATCCCCTTTCACAGGTACACGCAAACATTTCCTCTCACAGCTGGGGTTGATTACAAGCATGAACAGCCTCTTCTGTGGATATGGGTTCCCCTGTTTACACACATCTAGTGAATATGTGGGTACTTTAGCTTTTGTGTGTACCCATGGAGCACCCTGTGCTCTGCTAACCCATGCACTGGGGAGCAAGAGCCCCGGAGGCTCGTGCAGGCACCCCCCAGGTGTGGATTCTTAGATGTTGCAACTGGTAACAATCAGGTAAAATGTGATTACATAGAAAATCCAGATACTCTCAAGTGGAATTTGCTACAAGGTGTCTTTGTTTGCTTTAAAGCATAGGGTAATGATTCCATGCAGATATTTGCAATATATTTTAATTGTTTCATTCATGTGAAATATCAAACAGTGCTTGCTAGCAGTAGCCATAGCAGACTTGTAACAAACTTTGGAGTGGATGGTGAACTTTTGAGCTTTTTTTGTTAGAGCTATTGCAGACTGAATTGGAGGAGGATTTTCTGTTTGTGGACAATTAATTCCGTACCTGTTTTGGGGTCAATGCACCTTCCTTTGAAGCTGAAGGACTGCTCTAGCATGTACTGAATAAACCACTGGTTTTAGAGGATACTGCAGCTGCTTTGTTTCTAACATTATACAGGAATTGATGAGGTCAAAAGTATTCCCAGCTAATCCTGACTAGGAATACATTAGAAACTAAAGATACAAAAAACAATCTGATGTTTATTTTAAATGTACATAAACATGCTGCTTTCAAGAGAAGTGTTATTTTATGATTTTTCTTACATGCATGCTTGAAAAATTGCGCTAAAAATCCTTGCAGCTGCCATCCTTAATCAAGAATGCAAACCATAGAACCATAGAAAGGACCTTAAGATCATCTAGTTCCAACCACCCTGCCATGGGCAGGGACACCTCACACTAAACCATGTCACCCAAGGCTCTGTCCAACCTGGCCTTGAACACCGCCAGGGATGGAGCATTCACAGCTTCCCTCGGTGACCCATTCCAGTGCCTCACCACCCTTCAGTAAAGAACTTCTTCCTTAAATCCAATCTAAACTTCCCCTGTTTAAGCAATGTGCCTGATGGAAATAATGTGAATTTGTGTTTTGCCACTGCCCTGTATTTGCTTTTATGGGAAACTGCAGAAAGGAGAGTGAGAAAGGTGATTCAAGCTGGATAGTATCAAATAGCATTTAACAGATAGCATTTTGTTTTTTAGCAAAAACTTCTGCATTTTAGCAGAAGTATGGAACAGAAGTCCCTATTATTTTTTTGTATGCTTCTTCTGCATTAGCAGTCATCAGAACCTGAAAGCTCTCTGGGGTAGAGGTATGCCTGTTCCTGCTAGTTGTGTTTGTGCCACACAGCAGTATGTGGGATTGCAGGTTAGAGGACAGAAGTGCCAGAACCTTCTTTGTATTCTTTGTTAGTATTGGAGTATCATCTAGAAAGTAACACCTGTAAAAAATTGCTCCCCTAGCATTATAAATTAATAGCTTTGCAGCTTTGGTAATTGCCACTTAGTGTGCTGAGCTACACCTGGTGTTTAAATAAGTAAGACTGGAGTTTAGCCTTTTGGTCAGCTTTGAGGCATATTAGTTTATTACTGATTGGTCAGGAAGCTTCTGTCATGGTTATAGATCCTATAGGTGGTCTTAGTTGAGTCTTACTTTCCCTAAATTCCAAAGTATCAATCTATGGAATTTATCATACATTAAATATCACTACGTTGTGGTTTGTGGTTAATTTGATTTCTTTTGATTTCATTCAGGGTTTTAGGGTGGGTTTTGTTGTTGTTACTTTTGTGTGGTTTGTTTGTCTGTGGTGTTGTCGTTACCGAAACTGTTCTGTTCTTTGGTCTGTCTGCTATAGGTGTAAATATCAAAGATGTGGGAAATTTAGATGTGCCTAGAGTGTGAAAACTTTAGACATCATGTTTCATACCTTGTCATACCTTGCTTACTTCCTCTTTTGAAAGCATCTGCTTTATTACTTTTTTGTGGAACCATTGGTAGTGATTTGGTGGAGTTGTATTTTGAGCTTGTCCTCAACAATTCCCTAAGGAAGAGGCACAACATTTATAGAACTTAAGCTTTTTGAAAAGGCTCCTTTTTACATTTCTGTGGTGTGGGATCTGTGAACATGTCAGGTTCCTGAGTTTACAGCGTAACAGCACAGTAACTGTGCTGCCACTGCTTTGAGATAGATGAAATAGGTTTGACAAAGTTAGGGCTTAATTTAGCAAGATAATTACCATGTATCATAGAATGAGGACTTAATAGGTGCTCTAACTGCACAATTTTTTTGACAAAGCTAAAATGGAATAAAGCATCATTAATTATAAACTTAAATGTATTAAAGTTTTTTGCCTTGAAGTGAATGTTGGGAGTGTTTTACGTGTTTTGTGATTATGATTTCTTTGGCCTTTAAAACAGAATAAGAAGTCCTGAAGATTATTGTGGAGAGTTCATATAAAACAATTTTGTATATAGTTTCAGTGCTTCTTGCTAAATATTTTAGTATTGCTAGTGACCACGTGACATCACAAAGCAGGTAGTAATTTCAGCATTAAAAATTAACTGCTTCAGTAGCAACTGACTGACTTGGTGAGCTGTGAGAGAACGTATTTACTTACAGTTTCATTTCATAACTCTAAATGA